ACCAGCTCAGGTACAAACCTGAAATCACATACTGCGACAGCGAAGGGTCAAAGATCAGTGAGTGGTCAACACATCACACTTCTAACGATTGGCAGGCCAGAAACAAGTTTGGCAGCAGATACCCTACGTGGACAAAAGTGTTTAAGAACAGATTTGGACTCCAATTCCTTGTCTTATTTCTAGCAACCCCAGCCAGGTTGCAATTCTGCATTGTGTACTGATAAACCGTTTCTGTGCTAGTTTGAAGGAAAGACAATGTGGCAGAGGTATTCAGAGGCGGACCACCGACAAAGTTCAGCCATCTGGCAAGAAATAAGTTTGCCTTATTGACATGACAGCTGCTTGCTTACCTGTGAATCGAAAGACGGTGTCGATGAGGAGCCTTTCCTTCGTCAACGTAGTAGACACCCCATAATATCGAAATTCGAAATATGTTGTCTATATGAAAATGAATTATGAATCATAGGTAGCCAGTTTTGCAAGCTGTTAAAGAGGAGGACGAATAAACGTGCTTATGTCCACTCTTGGGTGTGTAATATTTGCACCGCTGCCTGCCTCTGACATTTGGCTAGAAACTTCACACAAACCGGGTAAGCCAATTTGTTTGAGTTTGACACTCTGTTTCATCATTAACTGCGTATTTATGACGAATCAAAAGGTTGAATAGAAGAAGTCTGACAAGACGAGGCATAGAAAAACTATATAAGCGACGAAGCGGTACCAGTTATCGCCCCATACACCGCATGTATGTGAGGATTTGTGCGGCCCTGATGAAAATTCATACCATAATTCAGGCTAGTTCAAATCGAATTGATATAAACAGTCTCTTAACGATGATACTTAAAGAAAGAAATGGTTAGAAGCGTGTAAAAAATAGATCTAATAAGCGAAGCGATGCAAACGCAGAACGATTTCCTCATTCAGTGCAAATTAATAATGTGCACAGAACGTAGCAAATGACAAAGAACAGCAGGTAAATGATGACCCTTTTGCATTCATATTATATGGCCTTGAGTTTCTTTCGTGTTTTTTCTTTGTTTATTCAATTATTTTCACAATACTTTTACCATATATCCGCTAATCTTTCTTATCCATGACAATGATTCCTCCTCACTGGATTATTAGCCTCTGTTGAAAAAGCAACTTCGATTTTTAAACATGTAATACCCCAGGCTTCTTACAGCCCTTTTCGCAATCCACTTCAGGTTACTGTCGCATAACTCTGCTAAAAGCAAAGTTTGGCGCGATGCGGTGGCACAAGCGATTTCGAAATTTTTAAAAATTCCTTATTGGCCTACGCAAATTCGTTACCTGAGCTTTGAAGGTTCTGAGAAACCAAGCCGTACTCACTGGAACATCAGACGATGGCTCGAGCTTCGACCACAAGACGGCAGAACGCGAGCCGGGGCGACAAAACTTACCGACGAATCCGGTTCTTAAAAAGCGAATGATCGCCGCAGTAATTTTTGTACCGAGGATCACTGGGGCCTTAATTAAATATTCGATTTTTGGCGTTCGCCCGCGTATGATGCACTTCAGTCGAATTTCGGTGTTTCTCGGCAACTGGAATGGCAGCAAATTTAGAGCACGATTGTCGGCGAAGCGTCGGCCCATTCGCAAGCCATTCAGCACAGATCTGTCACCGCTAAATCGCTCATTAGCTGCCAGAAGCACACCAAAAAATTCCGTGCCAGACAAATTAAGCATCCCGGCCGCTGAACCGCTGGTCGTTCACTGTGGGTATTAGAAAAATCATCGGGAAGATCACCCAAAACCGAACTACCGTGTAGCCTGC